CCCCCCCCACTGCTTCCTGACTGCAGGTGCTATGTGACCAGTTTCCACCATGCCTCTTTCTTGACATGATGGACTATGTGAGCCAACAGTAAACCTTTCTTTAATTTGCCCCAGTCAGGTATTTTATCACAGCATTAATAAATGTCACGAACACAAAGCTTAACTGCAGGAATGCAGGGATGATTCCCCAGACACTGACCTATAAATGTCATATGCCACACCAGCATAGCAAGTGTCCTACTTAGGTTTCCATTGCTGTGAAGAGACACCACGACCATGGCAACTCTTAAAAGAGAAAAACTTCATCGGGGCTGGCTTACAGCTTCAGAGGTTCAGGCTATTATCATCCTGGTGGGAAACATGGCAGCATATAGGCAGACATGGTCCTGAAGAAGCTGCTGAGAGTCCTACATCTGGATTCTCACACAGCAGGAGACTGTGTACCACACTCAGCATGCCTTGAGCATAGGAGACTTCAAAGCCCGTCTTCACAGTGACACACTTCCTCCAAGAAAGCCACACCTACTCCAACAGGGAACCACTTCCTACGGTCCAAGCACTCAAACACATGAGTCTATGGGGCCATTCTGTTCAAACCGCCATATAAAGGGGAAAGTAAGCAAGAGAGAACGGGAAAAGCGATACAAGAAAGAGATTTATTTAAGATAACGCAAATAAATAACAGAGATTCGTGCTTTACAAAAACGTAGAAGGTACAACAAACCAACCTAAAACTAGTAGGAATAAAGAACCAAAAGCTAGAGTGCAGAGAAACAAATTCGATACTAGAAGAAATGAAGTCAATAAAACCAAACATTCATTTTCTTTAAAAGAGAACAAATTTGGTGGACATACATTGTAAGTCATATTTTTAAATGTTTAATTAAAATAAGTAAAACCAGAAATGAGAAATCAGAAGAGTGCCAACTGTAGAGAAATAAGAATATAAGGACAACCTTTTGCCAGACAAACTGGATAATGTAGTTGGAATGGACTGATTCCCAGAAGTAAACAGGACAGTAGCCTACCACAGAGGGTCTCTGAAAGACTCTACCCGATAGGGTATCAAAGCAGATGCTGAGACTCAGAGCCAAACTTTGGGCAGAGTGCAGGGAATCTTATGGAAGAAGGGGGAGATAGAAAGACTTGGACTCTCCTTGCTACACAAGGAGAGCAACAGAACCAAGAAATCTGGGCCCAGGGCTCTTTTCTTCAACCAAGGACCATGCATAGAGATAACCTAGAACCCCTGCACAGATGTAATCCATGGCGGTATCCAAATGGGTTTCCTTGTAATGGGAACAGGAACGGTCTCTGACATGAACTCAGTGGCTAGCTCTCTGATCACCTCCCCCTGATGGGGGAGCAGCCTTACCAGGCCACAGAGGAAGACAATGAGCCAGTCCTGATGATACCTAATAGGCTAGGGTCAGATGGAAGGGGAGGAGGACCTCCCCTTAGAGGACTTGGAGAGGGGCATGGGAGGGAATGAGGGAAGGGGCTACAGCTGAGATACAAAGTGAATAAACTGTAATTAATATTAAAAATTTTAAATATTAAAAATTTTAAATTAAAAAAAATTTTAAAAAGAATTGTTATGATTTGAAGCTAAAACATCTTGACCAGCTCATGTGTTAAAGGCTTAAGACACTGGCTGAAGAGTTTTGAAGAAATTACTATATCACTAAGGTTCTGGTCTCAGAATTAGATCAACCCATACTCATGGATTCATAATTTGGTGGTATTATTGGGTATTGGTAGAAAATAGAAGATTGGGACCTACTTTAAGGAACCAAGTCACTGGAGATAGGAACACAAAGTGTGCTTCCCATCATCTCTCCTTCCCAACTGGGAAGAGAATCCCCTCCTTAGCAATGAAACTGGTGGCCACGGGCTAAAAGCTCTAAATTTGTGAGATACCCCCCCCCCCCAAAAAAAAACCCTTTACCTCCTTTCCTTGGAATCATTTTCACAAAATGATTCCAAAAGGGCATACTTGAACTATACAAGGAACACAGAGCAGGTCCAAATAGAATTATGACTAATAAGGACACTGAATTAGTAACCAAATATATTCTTACAAAGAAAATCGACAGATTTGCTTCACGACAGATTCTAACAAATACTTCAGGAGCACAAACAGTCCTTCTCCAACTTTTACTAAAAGTGGAAAGGGCAGGGCACTTCCTAGCTTATTTTTTGAGGTTAGCATTCGCTTGATAACAAAACCAAAATACAGACCAATATATGTTTTTTTAATTTGAATACAAAAATGCTAAAACAAAACTAGAAAACAGCTCTCAGCAACATATTACAATTACGTAGCATAGTTAAATACAAGTTAATTCTAGAACACAAAGTGCTTTGACAAGTGGAGAAAAAAAACTGCTCATCAAAGAGAAGATGAAACTCCAATTGAAAAAAAAAGCCTCCATAAGATCTGGCTATAGCAATCTACAGATTTAATGCAATTCCCATCAAATTGCCAACACAATTCTTTACAGACCTGGAAAGAAAAATTCTCAACTTCGTATGGAATAACAAGAAACCGAGAATTGCTAAAACAATCCTCTACAATAAAAGATCTTCTGGAGGTATCTCCATCCCTGATCTCAAGCTGTACTATAGAGCAACAGTTATAAAAACTGCATGGTACTGGCATAGAAACAGAATGGTGGATCAATGGAATCGAACAGAAGACCCAGAAATAAACCCACACACTTACGGACACCTGATATTTGACAAAGATGCCAAAACCATACAATGTTGAAGATAGCATCTTCAACAAATGGTGCTGGTTCAACTGGATGTCTACATGTAGAAAAATGAAAATAAATCCATACTTATCACCCTGCACAAAACTGAAGTCCAAGTGGATCAAAGACCTCAACATAAAACCAGACACATTAAATCGGCTAGAAAAAAAAGTGGGGAATACCCTAGAACTCATTGGTACAGGAGAAAACTTCCTGAACAGAACACCAACAGCACAGGCTCTAAGAGCAACAATCAATAAATGGGACCTCATGAAATTGAAAAGCTTCTGTAAAGCAAAGGACACCGTCATCAAAACAAAGCGACTGCCTACAGATTGGGAAAGAATCATCACCAACCCTTTATCTGACAGAGGACTCATATCCAATATATATAAAGAACTAAACAAGCTGAAAAGCAACAAACCAAGTAATCCACTTAAAAAATGGGGAACCAAGCTAAAGAGAGAATTCTCTGTAGAGGAATATCGAATGGCAGAGAAGCACTTAAAGAAATGCTCAACCTCATTAGCCATTAGGGAAATGCAAATCAAAACAACCCTGAGATTTCACCTTACACCCATCAGAATGGCCAAGACGAAAAACTCAAGGGACAACACATGCTGGAGAGGTTGTGGAGAAAGGGGAACCCTCCTCCACTGCTGGTGGGAATGTAAACTGGTACAACCACTCTGGAAATCAATCTGGCGCTTTGTCAGACAACTAGGAATAGCGCTTCCCCAAGATCCAGCCATACCACTCCTAGGCATATACCCAAAAGAGGCTCAAGTATACAAAAAGGACATTTGCTCAACCATGTTTGTAGCAGCCTTATTTGTAATAGCCAGAAGCTGGAAACAGCCCAGATGCCCCTCAACTGAAGAATGGATGCAGAAACTGTGGTACATCTATACAATGGAATATTACTCAGCAATGAAAAATAAGGAAATCATGAAATTCGCAGGTAAATGGTGGGACCTGGAAAGGATCATCCTGAGTGAGTTGTCCCAGAAGCAAAAAGACACACACGGTATATACTCACTCATATAAACATACAACATAGAAAAACCCACTAAAATCTGTACATCTAAACAAACTAAGCAAAAGAGAGGACCCTAACTAAAATGTTCAATTCCCATCCTGAAAGGCAAAGAGGATGGACATCAGAAGAAAAAGAAAATAGGAAACAACCTCGGAACCTGCTACAGAGGGCCTCTGAAAGCCAGAAGAAGAAAACAGGAAACAACCTTGAAACCTGCCACAGAGGGCCTCTGAAAGCTTCTGCAGTATAGACTGTCAAAGCAGATGCTGAGCCTGATGGCCAACTGATGGGCAGAGTGAATGGAATTTTATGTAAGAAGTGGGAAATAGTAAGAGCTGGAGGGGACGGGAACTCCACAAGGAGAGCAACAGAACAAGATAATTTGAACACAGGGAACTTCCCAGAGACTCATACTCCAACCAAGGACCAGGCATGGAGATAACCTGGAACCCCTGCACAGGTGTAGCCCATGGCAGTTCAGTGTCCAAGTGGGTTACATAGTAATGGGAAGAGGGACTGCCTCTGACATAATCTGATTGGCCTGCTCGTTGATCACTTCCCCCTGAGGGGGGAGCAGCCTTATCAGGCCACAGTAGAGGACAATGCAGCCACTTTTGATGAGAACTGATAGACTAAGATTAGAAAGAAGAGGAGAACCTCCCCTATCAGTGGACTTGGGGAGTGGCATGCATGCAGAAAGGGGAGGGAGGGTGGGATCGGGAGGGGAGGAGGGAGGGGCTTATGGGGGGATACAAAATGAATAAAGTGTAATTAATAAAAAAAAGAAAGAAAGAAAAAGATCTGGCTATAGGCATGCCAGTAGGGCATTTTCTTTCTCTTTCTTTCTTTCCTTCCTTCTTTCTTTCTTTCTAAAATATTTTTTATTTAATCACTTTACATCCTGAATCCAACTCCCTCCCTCTTCTCCTCTCAGCCCCACCCACGTGTCCCCCCCCATTCCCTCCCCTCCCTCTCCTTCTTTCAAGAGAAGGGGAGGCTCCCAAGGGGGCACCAATCCACCCTGGCACCTCAAGTCACAACAGGACTAAAGGTATCCTCTCCACTGAGGCCAGACAAGGCAGCCCAGCAAGGGTTAAGGGATGCAAAGGCAGGCAACGGCCCCGAAAGTGACAGCACATGTTGGCGAAGATGCAGATCAAGAGGAACCCTCCTCCATTGCTGGTGGGAGTACAAACTTGGACAACCACTGTATAAATCAATCTGGAGGTTTCACAGAAAAGTGGGAATATATCTATCTCAACAACCAGCCATACCATTACTGGGCATATACCCAAAAGATGCTCCACCACATTAGGACATTTTCTCAACTATGTTCATAGCAGCTTTATTTATAATAGCCAGAAACTGGAAACAACCTAAATGCCCCTAGACGGATAAAGAAAGGTGATACACTTATGCTATGGAATACTACTCAGCTGTTATCAAAGACATTATGCAATTTGCAGGCAAATTGTTGGAACTAGAAAAGATCATCCTGAGTGAGGCAACCCAGACCTAGAAAGACCTGCGTGGTATGTGCTCACTTATAAGTGGATAGAAGCCATACTAGAGGAAAACCATGCTACAGTACACAGACCCTTAGGCCAAGGAGGGCCCAAGGGGGGGGATGTTTGAATCTCACTCAAAAGAGAAAATAAAATAGGGCATTTTCTTAATGAGTGGTTGATGTGGGGAGGCCCAGCCCGTTGTGGGTGGGGCCATCCCTGGGCTGGTGGTCCTGGGCTCTATAAGAAAACAGGCTGAGCAACCCATGAGGAGCAAGCCAGGAAGCAGCACCCTCCGTGGCCTCTGCATCAGCTCCTGCTTCTGGGTTCCTGCCCTCTTTGAGTTCCTTTGAAGGGGAACTGTGGAAACTTGAGTGGAATAAACCCTTTCCTCCCCAAGTTTCTTTGAGCATGGTGTTTCATCAGAGCAATAGAAATCCAACTAAGACATAAATTGAAGACTTTCAAATATTTATTGGTCAAATATCTATTGGTCACTTTTTGTCTTCCTCTGAGAGAAATCTGTATAATTCATTAGCCCATTTGTTGTTTTGATAATTTAGAGTTTTGCTATTTACCTTTTGGAGTTCTTTATAGATTTTAACATTCCAAGGTACATTCTTGATGAATTCTAAGTCACCAAAGCCTTGAGATGCTTATATCTTGGTATGTAGCTTCACTTTTCACAGCAGTTAAGGGCTGTCTTAGTTTGTATTCTATTGCTGTGGTAGAACAGCATGCCCAAGACAACTTATAGAAGAAAGGGTTTTGTTTTTTTTTTTTTTGTTGTTTTTTTTTTTTTCATTTTGATTTGGTTTGGGTTTTGGGTTTTGTTGTTGTTGTTGTTCTCTTTTTAGACTCCCAATTCCAGGGAGCTAAGAGTCCATTAGCGCCATGGTGAGGAAGCGCGGTAGGAGGCAGGCAAGGTGAGAGTCTACAACTTACACGGTAATCAGGAAGCAGAGAAGAGAACCCTGAAAGTGGGCATGTGCAGTCCTGTGGTGGCTGTTCAGCACTGGGAGTGAACTTGGTACCACTAAATCACACAGCTCTAGGTAGTTAAGACGCCAATCTTTGTCATGAGCATTTTACCGCAATGAAGAAATTGTAGGAAATACAGTGCTTGTTAATAGTGTCAAGATGGATATGACCACAAAAAAGAACTTTAAATCAGCTTATTAAATTACCATATCAGGGCCACAGATAGTGCCATCTTCTACAAACGTTTCATCTCTGTCTGCTAGTACGGAATATGTCGTCATTGTTGGCTTAAAAAGCCTCCCGCCTTTATACATAGATATACATATGTCATTTCGTACGTGTGTATAAACCGCAGATATATTGACCTTTCTCAATATCTTCTTGAATGGCCACGTACAGACTAACTTCCCACACAGAGCATTTCTGGAAGCATAATGGAAAAGGTCTCTTAGCAAGTAGCTGATAATACAAGTTAGCAATGAAGGTTACACAGTGCAAAAACCAGTGACGCACCTTCCCTCAACTTTTTATTTTTGCCTACACAGTGTGAAAATAAAAATTACTCTTCTTTAACTAAGTATACATCTTAGTTAAAAAAAAAAGTCTCTCTAGGGGTGAAGAGGGTTACAGGGGTGGAGAGAGCCAGCGATGGGGTGGGGGAGGATCGGGATAGAGGACAGAAATTAGGCAGAGGGCCTCTCTGGGACAGGGGAGGCTCTTGGGAGTCTGTGGAGACTGCCCTAGCTGACACTCCTCCCAGCAGGGGGCATGGAGCTTGAAGTGGCTGCCTCCTGCCTAGGAGGGACTTCCAACCCACACATAAAACCTCAGACCCAAAATTTGTCTCACCTCTAAGACGGGTAGGGATAAACATGCAGTAGAGATTGAGAGAGTGACAAACCAAAAAGGGCCCAACTTGAGATCCTCCCAATGGGAGGAAGCGAACCCTTGACACTATTAATGACACTCCGCTATGCTTGCACGCGGGAGCCTAGCCTAACTGTCTTCTGAGAGGCTTCATCCGGCAGCTGATGGAAACAGATGCAGAGACCCTCAGCCAAACAATAGGCATAACTCAAGGAGTTTTGCGGAAGAGTGGGAGGATCGATCGAGGGAGCTGGAGGGGTTAAGGACACCACAAGAAGACCTACAGAGTAAACTAACCGGGGCCCCTGGGGGCTCACAGAGACTGAACCACCAACCGAAAAGCATGCACCGGTTGGACGTAGACCCCCTACACATATGTAGCAGATGTGCAGCTTGGTCATCATGTGGGTCCCCTAACAATGGGGGTAGGGACTGCCTCTGCCTCTGTTGCCTGCCTTTGCATCCCTTTCCCCTGGCTAGGCTGCCTTGTCTGGCCTCAGTGAGAGAGGATACACCTAGTCCTTATGCAGTTTTGAGGGGCCAGGGTGGGTTGGTACCCCCTGGGGGCCTCTGCTTCTCTGTGAAGAAGGAAATAAGAATATAGGGTGAAGAGGCATGAGGGTAGGACTGAGAGGAGAGGAAGGAGGGGGCTGGATTCAGGCTGTAAAATGATTAAACAAATAAAGAAAGAAAACAAAAATAATGTGTTACTAGTTTAAATCTTGGTTGAACGATTTTTCTCCATAAAAACTTTAGCATAACTTATAATATGACTCTTTTTGAATGAGGGAATTTAGAAGTAAAAAAAATTGATAATCATGACATGCTGACAGCTCTCTTATGCCTCATTCTAGCTACTGAAATTTGGACAAATGATCATTGATTATCAGATTTTTTAAAAGTAAAGCAAGATAATTTTTATTAGTTACATTAAATTTTATTAGTTACATTCATAAACATATAATAGATGATAGATAATAGATAATATAGTATATATATACATACTATCTAACACAATGTCTAGTTCACCAGAACCATCTGTAGAAGTTTCCAGCTTTAACATTGTAGGCACTGGACAAATGTTCCCATAACAAGGGACAACAACTGTTCAGTTGAGACCATGTGACAAAGGAAACCTGGCAAAGTACCCCACTGCACAGAATACACAGAATACGCCCCACTCACACAGAATACATGTTGGGATTTAAGAATCTACATTCTAAACAAAAGAATAATTTTCTAAATACATACTCAAACCCGCAATGGTTATTAACACAGTTGCCAAATCTGTCACCTCTGGAATTCATCTCTTCGTAGCACCAGAAAGGAGCCCCTTTCACACCTAGAATTAAACACAAGAAGAACTAAGATGGCTTAAGAGTTCAGACAACACTGCAGAATTTATAGGGTCGGACTGGGCACTGCAATGAGACCCCCTCAGCATTAATACATTGTTGGGACTGAAATACTTACAAAGAGATATCTGGGTTCTAACCCAGACTAGTAAACTGATAAAAAGGAAGGAAGGAAGGAAGGAAGGGAGGAAGGGAGGAAGGGAGGGAGGGAAGAGTGACAAGTTTAATGTTTCATATTTTAAGAGGGGCAAATGTCATCCTCTTTATTCCCTTTGAATTGTTTTCTTTCTTAGTTCTTGATTTACTGGGGAAGCAATTCATTCTTCACAGCCCAGTGCCCAGGGTGCCCAGGCTGAGCTTCCCTTCTGTGTTCAGGATAGATTCCTTATCCCAATGCCCTTGCACCTGGTAAGCATAAAAAAAAATTATCACATTTTAAACGTGGAAAGGACACCATCATTCCTCTCCATCAACCCACACACATGTGGACAAGGAGAGAGAGAGGTGACTATTCTAAAAAAGTAGGAAAATTTTAACTACATGTACCAACTAGCCCCATCACTTTGACTTGGAGGTTTAAGGGTGGGTTGCATTGTTCATGTCAGTCATTTGGAATAAGAACTGAGATATTTGCTTTCATTGCTATTGACTGATGTGAGTCCCCTCTCCAACTATTGCACAAGTTCTCACATCTTTATAAACTGATCTAACAATGTCACCTCCAGAGGGACATAATTCCCATGTGTGAAGGTAAATGACTACTATCAGTGATTCTTTTCTTGAAAAGAGCCTCACTGAGTCTCACCGAGCTTTTTAAGAGGGGACAGTACAATATTGGCTTCATAGCTTTGAGAACTGCCTTGTGGGGACTCTCTGGCCTGGACACCCTACCATCACAGTCATGACCCAGAGTGCTTAGAGCAGTCAGGCACAGACTGCTCCAAGTCAGTGGTTCTCTACCTTCCTAATGCTTGTGACACTTTAGTACAGCTCCTCGTGTTGTGGTAACCCCCTCCAACCATAAAATTATTTCGTTGCTACTTCACAACCATAATTCTACTACTGTTACAAATCATAATATAAATGTCTGTGTTTTCCAACCGTCTTAGGTGACCCCTGTGAAAGGATCATTTGGGCAACCTCAGAGGTGTTTCAATCCACAGGTTGACAACCACTGTTCTAAGGTGCTCCAGGGATCACCACACACACACACACACACACACACACACACACACACACACCACTTAGCACCTCAGCCTTCTCTTTGATATTCTTTGGCTTTCAAGTTTTTGAGGCAGAGGATAACCAACCACAGCTTGATCCCTGAAAACACCACAGCTCTGATGTACCCACTCCTGGCCCCCAAGGCCAAGAGAATGACAGAGCTTTAGAGATATAATTTTCCTGGTGTCCTAGGGGCAGAGATAGGGGTGCTGAACAAGAGCTTTTGTATTTCTGCCTCAATTTTTGTAGGCTTTGAAGTCTGGGCTACCTAAATCTAAAAGTACAACTCAAGAAAGAAGATCACGGCTAGGCATGGTGATCAATAAACTAGAAACAGAGAACAATTCGAAGAATTAATGAAACGAAGAGCTGGTTCTTTGAGAAAATCAACAAAATAGACAAGCCCTTATCCAAACTCACTAAAAGGCAGAGAGACACTATCCAAATCAATAAAATCAGAAATGAAAAGGGGGACATAACAGACAGTGAGGAAATCCAAACAATCATTAGGTCTTACTTCAAAAGCCTACACACCATGAAATTTGAAAATCTAAATGAAATGGATAATTTTCTTGATTGATTCCACTTACCAAAACTGAATCAAGACCAGGTAAATAAATTAAACATCCCCATATCTCATAAAGAAATAGAAGCACTCACTCATCAAAAGTTTCCCATCCAAAAAAAGCCCAGGGCCAGATGCTTTCAGGGCAGAATTCTACCAGATGATCAAAGAAGAGCTAACACCAATACTCTTCAAACTATTCCACAAAAGAGAAACAGAAGGAATATTACCAAACTCATTCTATGAAGCCACAGTCACCTTGATACCTAAACCTCACAAAAACCCAACAAAGAAAGAGCATTTCATGCCAATCCCTCTTATGAACATTGATGCAAAAATACTTGCAAAATGAATCCAAGGACACATCAAAGATATCATCCACTATAACAAAGTAAGCTTTATCCCAGGTATGCATGGGTTGTTCAATATATGAAAATCCATCAATGTAATCCACCATATAAGCAAAGTGAAAGGAAAAAAAAACACAAGATCATCTCCTTAAGTGCCAAAAAAGCATTTGACAAAATCCAACACCCATTCATGTTAAAGCGCTGGAGAGATTAGGGATATAAGGCACTTATCTAAACACACTAAAGACAATATACAGCAATCCTATAGCCTACATCAAACTAAATAGAGAGACACTTAAAGCAATCCCCCACTAAAATCAGGGACAAAGATGCCTACTCTCTCCATACCTCTTTTAACATAGTACTTGAAGTCCTTTCTAGAGCAATAAGACAACTAAAGGAGATCAAGGGGATTTAGTTGGGAAAGGAAGAAGTGAAAGTATCACTATTTGCAGATGATATGATAGTATACATGTTACCCCAAAAATTCTACCAAGGAACTCCTATAGCTGATAAACACCTTCAGCAAAGTGGCTGGATACAAAATTATAGCCCTCCTATATACAAAAGACAAATGGGCTAAGAAATTAGGGAAACAACACCCTTCACAATAGCCACAAAAGACATAAAGTTCCTTGGTGTGACTCTAACCAAGCAAGTCAAAGACTTGCACAAAAAAACAAAACAAAACAAAAAAAACACTTCAAGTGTCTGAAGAAAGACATTAAAGAAGATACCAGAAGATGGAAAGATCTCCCATGCTCATGGCTTGGCAGGATTAACATGGTAAAAATGGCCATTCTTCCAAAAGCAATCTACAGATTCAATGCAATTCCCATCAAAATAGCAGCACAATTCTTTACAGACATTGAAAGAAAAATTCTCAACTGCATATGGAATAACAAGAAACCCAGAATTGCTAAAACAATCCTCTACAATAAAATATCTTCTGGAGTTATCTCCATCCCTGATCTCAAGCTGTACTCTAGAGCAACAGTAATAAAAACTGCATGGTACTGGCATAGAAACAGACTGGTGGGTCAATGGAATCGAATAGAAGATCCAGAAATGAACCCACACACCTAAGGACACTTGGTTTTTGACAAAGATGCCAAAATAATACAACGGAAAAAAAGATAACATCTTTAATAAATGGTGCTATTCTAACTGGATGTCTACATGTATATAAATGCAAATAGACCCATACTTATCACCCTGCACAAAATCAAAGTCCAAGTGGATCAAATATCTCAACATAAAACCAGACACACTAAATCTGTTGAAAGAAAAAGTGAGGAAGAGCCTAGAACTTACTAGCACAGGAGACAATTTCCTGAACAGAACAGCAACAGCTCAGGCTCTAAGATCTATAATTAATAAATGGGACCTTGTGAAACTGAAATGCTTCTGCAAAGCAAAGGACACTGTCAACAGAACAAAACGACAGGCTACAGACTAGGAAACGATCTTCATCAACCCTATATCCAATAGAAGGCTAATATCCAGTATATATAAAGAACTCAAGAAATTAGACACCAACAAACCAAATAATCCAATTTAAAAAATGGCATACAGAGCTAAGCAGAGACTTCTCAACAGAGGAATATTAAATGGTAGAGAAACACTTAAAGAAACGTTCAACATCCTTTGTCATGAATGGCTAAGATCAAAAACTCAAGTGACAACACATGCTGGAGAGAATGTTGGAGAAAGGGGAAGCCTTCTCCATTGCTGATAGGAGTGCAAGCTTGTACAACCACTTTGGGAATCAATCTGGCACTTTCTCAGAAAACTGGGAATAGTACTACCTCAAGATCAAGCTCTACCACTCCTGGGAATATACCCAAAAGATGCCCCACCATTCAATAGAGACATTTGCTCAACTATGTTCATAGCAGCTTTATTTGTAATAGCCAGAATCTGGAAACAACCTAGAAGTCCCTGAGTGGAGGAATGGATACAGAAATTGTGGTACATCTACACAATCGAATACTATTCAACTATTTTTAAAAAAATCAAGAAATTTACAGGCAAATGGATGGAACTAGAAGAGATCATCCTGAGTGAGGTATCCCAGAAACAGAAAGACAGGCATGGCATATACTCACTTATAAGCAGATATTAGCCATATAATATAGGATAGTCATACTAAAATCTACAGACTTAAAGAAGCTAAACACTAAGGGGGACCCCAGGGAGGATGCTTAAATCTCATTCAGAATGGCAAACAGAATAGACACCAGAAGCAATGGAAGAGAGGAAACGAGATGGGAGCCTACTATAGAGGGTCCTCTGAAAGGCTCTCCCCAACAGGGCATCACAGCAGATGCTGAGACTCACACTCAAACTTTGGGCAGATCAGAGGGAGTCTTATGGAAGAAGAGAGTGGGGATAGAGGGCCATGGAGGGGACAGGAGTTCCACAAGGAGACCAACAAAGCTAAAGGATCTGAGCCCGGGGATCCTGCAGAGACTGATGCACCAATGGAGGACCATACATGGAGAGGACCTAGATCCCCTGCTCAGATGTAGCTGACTGGTATCTCAGTCTTCATGTGGATCTCTGAGTGAGGGGAGCAGGGGCTGCCTCTATCATGAACTCTGTTGACTGCTCTTTGACAACTCCTCCCCGTTGATGCAGCCTTGCCAGGCCACGGAGGAAGATCCAGGCAGTCCTGATGAGACTTAACAAGCTATGGGCAGATGGCAATAGTAGAGAACTCCTCCTTTTCAGTGGACTAGGGGAGGGGGCTTCAATCAGGATATATAATGAATAAATTGTGAACAAAAAAAATATTAAAATTTAAAGAAAATAAAATTCTCAACTCTGCTTCCTGGAAGCAGTTATC